TGAAGCCGCGATTATTTTAATCGCGGCTTCATTTCCCTCTGCCGATCTGGCTAATCTACATGCCTCCGTCGAAGGAGGCATGTAGTCTAGACACACCCCAGGAGTGTAGACATAGTCTCAGTAAAACACACAGACTCTCTCTCTCTAAACATTGAAGCTATTTCCATTTCAAAATGAATAGCCCGGAATCTCCTTCAATAGCTTTTGTGATTTTTTTTACAAAAAAAATTGTGTCAAAAATATTGACTTTTTGCCAGCATGGTGCATATGCAATCTAAATAGATATAGAAAAATTCTGTTTATTGCAAACCAGTTTCATTTTCAAACCTCAGCCATGTTTTCAACTAAAAAAACTTTTCCTTTAAAATTTTTTACTAGTTCTATTTATATCAATGTCTAATTATTTTCTCTTTGTTACTAAGCTCTTTGTCGCCTTTTGGAAATGAGTTTCACAGACTTATTCTGTTTAATCTCAGTGATTGTCTGTTTGTTCATTCATAATTATGAGTGAGCGGGAACAGAAACATTAGATTTATTCTCTCTAAAATAATGTTTATTATTTTGTATGTACTTTCTATGGTGCCCTACTTATTTGTCTTCTTTATACATGAAATAGTCCCAACCTATTCTGTATCTCCATATCTGAAAATCTTTCCAGACCTCTAACCATTTCTGTTGCCTTTCTCGGAACGATTTATATTTCTGCTATATGCTTTTTGAGATGAAGTGACCCAACCGCACAAAGGATTCATGGTAAGGGGGTAGCACGGAAAAAGCTTGCTCAAGAAGCTGATTTTATTTACCATGAAAATAGTCAACAGGAAACGCACAATTTTCATTTTCAGAGCATATTTTTGCATAAAATTTGTGAGGTTTTCATTTAAAATGTTTGGTTTCATTTTTTGCTGTAAACTAGAATTTTTTTTCTCTTATTATTGAAAATAATTTTTTCTCAGTTTTCAGGCTTTTGTATTTTCATTGAATCCAAAAAGTATTTTTGTAAAAATACATTTTGACACACTCCAATTGCTAATCTACATAATGGCATAAAATACTCAGGCTTCAGTTAATATAAATAGATCACCAGCTAGGATCAGGAAGAAATAAAGCCCATGATACAGCATTGTGCAATGAAGTGCATTCTAAAGAGTTTGCAATTCGTCAATGAATACTGGACTAGAGAGTCAATTGGCCTGTCTCAGTGTGATGGTTTCTATGTTTCTTTGATAAGAATAGGTTAATCATTAAGCCAATAAAGATATGTTTCTGTGTCACCTGCTTGCTTAACAGGGTTACCAGGTGAGTTTAAAAAAAAATACCGGACAGAGGACGGGCCAGGAGGAGGGCGGGGCTGGCCAGGAGGAGGGGGGGTTGGCAGCAGGAAGTAGGGCTGGGGAGCTTGGGAGGAGGGGGGAGAACTGGCCGGAAGGAGGGGTGGAGAACCGGCCGGTGGGAAGCAGGGCTGGTCGGGGGGGGGAGAGGTCGGGGGCAGCAGGGCTGGCTGGGGGAGATTGGGAGGAGAAGTGGGGGAGAACAAGCTGGCCAGAAGGAGCAGAGGGGAGCAAATCGTACAGCAGGGAGCACGACTGACCCGGGCATGTGCAGATCCCAGGGCGTTGCCTGTCCCAGTCCCGCGCATGGTCCCGGCAAAGCACTAGTGAGTCTGGTGCGGCTCTACAACGTGCTGGAACAGCGCTCAGGAGCACATACAGAGCTTCCCCTCCTCCCCAAGGTGTCACACGCAAGCAGAGGCTCCTAGCGCCGATTGAGCCCTGCCTCCCAGCCACTCTCCCCGCCCCCGCCAGGCTTCTCTCAGGCACCCCGCCGGAAAACCAGAACATTCCGGACATTGCACATGTCTGGTATTTTCTGAATTTTTTTACTGGACAGAGGCCCCAAAAACTGGACTGTCCAGTTGAATACTAGACACTTGGCAACCCTAGCTTAACAGCCTCAGAATACTTGCATAAAACTCCTGAGCCATTTGCTTTTTTAGACCAATACCGACTAAAATACTTAATGCTGTTAAACATACGGGTCATCTTTAATGCTTCGGCCTGTGATTATGTTCTTTCCTGTTGGAGCATAATTCCATTCCACCTCACAGATACCCAGGTAATAGACTCTGGTGGCACCTTCAGCAAAGATGGGCAACAGCAGTAAAACCAGAGACTGAGACTGCAGCAGCCAACGAGATCCCATCCCAGCTCCAAGTGAAGGCTCTTCAGGAGAAAGCAACTGCTTTATTGGAAAAGAAACAAAACAAAACAAAAAGTCTGGAATAATGGGACAACAAAGAGGCTTTGACTCTCATAACCCAGTCCTAGATGTTCTGAGAATATGGCAAGGAATCAACATGTAAAAGCGCCTTGGGTCAGCATTTAATTATACCAGGATGAATGGGAAAATTATACAGATTCTGAACACCCACGCTTCAGGGTATAAGGTAGTCACCAGCTTCAGGATGAGAAAAAAAATCCACACAACATGTGCCTTCCAAATATTAATATACAACAAAGTATACTGAAGGGCTACGTCTACACTGGCATGATTTTCCGGAAATGCTTTTAACGGAAAAGTTTTCCGTTAAAATCATTTTCAGAAAAGCACGTCTAGATTGGCAGGACGCTTTTCCGGAAAAGCACTTTTTGCGGAAAAGCGTCCGTGGCCAATCTAGACGCACTTTTCCGCAAAAAAGCCCCGACCGCCATTTTCGCGATCGGGGCTTTTTTGCGAAAAACAAATCTCTGCTGTCTACACTGGCCCTTTTGCGCAAAAGTTTTTCGGAAAAAGACTTTTGCCCGAACGGGAGCAGCATAGTATTTCCGCAAAAGCACTGACAATCTTACATGAGATCGTCAGTGCTTTTGCAGAAATTCAAGCGGCCAGTGTAGACAGCTGGCAAGTTTTTCCATAAAAGCAGATGATTTTGCGGAAAAACTTGCCAGTCTAGACACAGCCAAGGAGTTACACCTTTCTCAACAGCATCCGACGCTGGCCACTGAAGGAGATAGGGCAATGGACTACAGACAGTTAGCCTGTCTTACTATACCAATTCTTGTAAGGTGGGAAGAGGCTTGTCATACCTAAAAACCCTGGCTGTCTCTCACAGTGATCTAGCCAACTTTCTCAAGTGGTTCATGGATGTGATGTTCTCCTAAACTGCTTGTCCTGTAGTTTTGGATCATGTTGTGGTGCACTGTAAAACAGCTGTGGTGCTCTACCATGGGTACTGCTGTGGTAAGTCAAGTGGTCCTTTTAAATCTTTTTCCAATGTGCTTTGAAGTCCTTCTGAATAAAAAGCACTATAAGTTATCATTGCCTTTATTAGCTTCCCGCTATCTCTTGGGCTGAACTACAGACTTAATGGACAGAATCCTCAACCCCGGAAATTAATGGCAACTGGCAGAAGTGATTGTTAATCAATCCCAGATAGTCATTAAATTTACTAGACTGAGCTTTTGACTGCTGGGTACTCAACTTGGAAAATGCTCTTTATGGTATATATCCAGATGTGTAAACTGTTCCCACACACTCCTCTGCTCCAAATGACAGCAGTCTCTGAATTCATGGGAAGTTTCTACTTTACAGTTCAATTATATGCAGTTCTTACAGGCTGCGTCTAGACTGGCAAGTTTTTCTTTTGCGCAAAAACTTGACAGCTGTCTACACTGGCCGCTTGATTTTGCGCAAAAGCACTGACGTTCTACTGTCCGAAATCAGTGCTTCTTGCGCAAATGCTTTCACGTTCCTGTTCGGGCAAAAGCCCTTTTCTGGAAATGTTTTTGCGCAAGAGGGCCAGCGTAGACAGCTAAAAACTGTTCTGCGCAAAAAAGCCCCAATGGCGAAAATGGCGATCGTGGCTTTCTTGCGCAAAACTGTGTCTAGATTGGCACGTATGCTTTTCCGCAAAAAGTGCTTTTGCGGAAAAGCATCCGTGCCAATCTAGATGTTCTTTTCCGCAAATGCTTTTAACGGAAAAACTTTTCCATTAAAAGCATTTGCGGAAAATCATGCCAGTCTAGACGTAGCCACAGTGTTTTTCATTAGTTGTTTTCAAAGCACTTTGTAAAGGCTATAAGTAACATGCCCATTTTACAGATGGAGAAACAAAGGCATAGAGAAGTGAAGTAACTTGCCCCAGATTCCTAGCATACTATAGGGCTGCCAGATGGTTTCAACAAAAATACCGGACACACTTGACATTACATCACAATCTACATTACATCTTATTTAGAAAATACCGGACATTTATATTTTCTCAATTGTTTCCCGAACAGAAAGCTCACCTACTGGACTGTCTGGTTCAAAACTGAACACCTGGCAACCCTAACTACTAGCAGAACTAAGGCTAGAACCCAGATCACGTGCTACTGCTCCATCCACTAAGCCCCACTTAAAGTCATTACTAGCTACTTGGAAATGAAAGGACTGTGTTCACATACACTCATTCTGTTCTTTATAATAGGTTTCAAACCAATTTGCTAACTAAATTGCACATGTGCTATTCAACACACACACAAATATCATGTTGAATAAAGAGAGGCAGCAGCGACCAGCTATGAGGAATAGATGGTATACGACGCTGGATTATCCTGAAACCTCTTACCCTATTAACATTGATCACTGAGAAGGAATAATCTGTTGATTTATTAAAAAGTGGGTGGCCAGGATATAAATGAGGTGGCAGTGGCTCTCTGGGAAAGAGATTATCTGGAATATGATTCAGCAGTCCTGAAGGAGGATACCTCAGAGCAGCCAAATGGGAGGAGAAGGTTTGTGCTAATCTTTGCCACCTTTATACTGTGTTTTTTGTTCACAAAACCAGATTTCACGAAGGGGCTGAGTTCGGACTTCACATCAAATATGGATAGCAGTTTTTAAAGCAGATGGGTCAGAAGTTCTGCCCTTCTAAAAACTGTTTATGTCCCTTCTTATCACCCTAGATCTCAATATGACAGTATTCGCCGTTTCCTGAATACTTTTACTTGAATCGATATCCACCTCAGGCCTGTATGCAGGAATTTTTGTGGGCAGTGGGTTTTTTTTTTTTTGTAAATGTGGACCGCAAGGGTGTGAATGCACCCCCATGGTTCCCCAAGTATGCGGGGAAATCAGCCCCTGCCTTCCCTGGGCTGGTCAGAGCATGGGGAAGGGAAGCTCGGACAGTGCGCTGCTCCTGCCTTCCCCTGGCCAGCTGGAGCATGCTTACTTGGCCCATTGGGGGTGCTTTCACACCCGTTGCACACACCCCTGTGTATGAGCCTGCACCTAAAACTAAATTTCCAGTGAATTGTCCAGGGCTAGTGCAAAAACCTGAAATGGAATCTTAGAGATAGGGGATCTTTTAAAGACCAGGTCAAGAGCACAATAGGGGTTTGATTTAGGGGTGCTACACATTCCAGTGCTCTAGTTCTATGAAATGGTAAAGCAGATAATCTCAACTAAGATTCATAGGGCCTGATTCTGCTATCACTTATACCTATGAAGTAACTCCATTGACTTCTATGGAGTTATTCTGGATTTTACACTCGTGTAAATAAAAATCAGAATTGGGTCCATGAACTGAAGAGATGGCTGGGGTTGGGAGGAATAAAGTTTCAACTCTCTAATTTTAATCATATCTCAAATAGTTAAATATATTTAGACAGCTTCAGGGGGTAGCCGAGTTAAGCCATATATTAAACATCTTAAATGCAAATGCTCTCTGATACTACATGAAAGGCACAAAAAGGAAGACAACTATTATTCTTTCCTTGTAGCATATGAAACTCCATATCATCACATTAAACCAGTCTTTGCCTTGATTATCATACTTGCACTCCTAAGAAAATTCTACCCAAGAAGAAAGTATTAAATTAACATAACTGCTGTTTTACTTACTCTGTTGAGCTGGGTTAGAAACAGGTAATGTTGAAAGAGTCAATCATTCATAAGACATTCTTCTTGAAATGTCTGGAGCACTGCAGAAATAATGAACCTGGAAATATCCACATATGCTGAGGGAGCAAAGTCCAGGTTATAAAGACGGGAAATTCCTGGACTTTTATTGATAGGTCTGAGCTGTGGTTTTGTTGCAGGCATATACTAGACACTGTCACAATGTGAGCAGCCTGACTGCCTATATTCAGGTCATAAATACTATAGGTAGCCCCTACACAGGGCCCTACCAAATTCACAGTCCAATCTAGTAAATTTCATGGTCATGGGATTTAAAAAATCTGAAATGTCACAGTGTTGTAGTTGTGGGGATCCTGACCAAAAATGGGGCTATGGGAGAAGGGGGTCATGGTATTGCTGTTCTTACTTCTGTGCTGGTGGTGGCAATGCTGCTTTCAGAGCAGGGCAGCCGGACAGTGGAGGCTTCTGGCCAGCCACCTAGCTCTGAAGGGAAGTTGCCATGGTATGGTAGTGCGACCCTTACTTCTGTGCTACAACTGGAGACAGTGGCCCTGAGAACGCCCTGTGCTGGGGAAGAGAAAGTCCTGTCCCTCTGCAGACCAGCTGGGACTAGCAGCTGAAGCCTGGCACATGGGAGTCCTGCCCCACCCTAAAGTTTGTGGGAGGGGCAATATAAAGCAGCCTTGGACTGACTGTGTGTTTGTGTGTGGGGGGGGGGGAGTGACTACTCTTCCAACCACAGGACCCTAGGCAGTTTCCCAATTGTCTACCCATAAGGTCAGTCCCTCTCAAAGGTGATGCTGCCCATACCATGCCACACTCATTTCTGCACTGCTATACACAGGACAATGATCTGTGAATAGTCTTTTTTTTCCTGTAAACCTGGAATATGGCTGGTCCTCCCAAGACACGTGGCCAGGTCACCTGATGCTGAAACCCCTTTTTGGATCCTGTACTTTTCCACTGGAAATGTGAGGAGTTTAAACTGAACACAAAGGATTCCTGCCTTTGGCAAAAGGGATATAAAGGCAAGAAACCAAACAATAGAGATAGCTGAAAGACAGCAGGACACCCCAGCTTATCACGCAAAATGACTGCTGGAAACAGCTTAGACTGAAGAAGAGGAAGAGATCATGCCCAAGTTGGGAGGCATCTCAGCTTGTGAGAAGATTATTAGAACTATTAAAAAATTGCATGTAACACATTTCTTAGTGTATTAGGCTTAGCTGGCATATTTTATTTTGCTTGGTAGCTTACTTTGATCTGTGTGCTTCCAGTTGCAACCACTAATGTCCTACCATTTTTAATAAATGGCTTAATAAAATCATTTTGTTTATTAATAAAATCAGTGTAAGTAATTGTTACCTGGGGACACAACAGTTGTGCATATCTTACATTGATAAAGGAGGCAAACAATTCATGCTCTTACTCTGGCTAAAGTTTTATAGAGAGCAAGATGGATCTATCGGGGTTCTGGTCCTACTAGGGCTGTGCACCTGTGTGCTGCGACACGTCCCTTTGAGTGAGCTTTCCCAGAGCTGAGATTATCTCAGTGTCTGTCTTACTCTCTTGGGGGCTGTGACCCAAACTCTATGTCAGTGCTGGAAGAGACTGCTGGGTCTGGGTTAGCAGCATAAGGTTGTGAAGTGCCCAAGGGGCAGGTAGGTGGGCTCAGTGGTATTTTCAGTCTGGCAAGTGACAGTCTTAAGAGGATCTCTGTGACTCAACCCGTCACAACAGCGACCCACCTACACTAGTCAGATTTCATGGCGGAGTCTAGATTTCATGGCCTGTGACATGTTTTTCATGGTCGTGAATTAGGTAGGATTCTACCCATAATTTAAAAACAATATCTGCACGTCCATGTTTGTTTCACTTTCACCTTTTAAAAAACACAGCAGCCTCTCCATGTGGATTAATTATGAAACAGGAACCCAGGTTTCCATTTATTTATTTTTTTATGGCAGGGAGAAAACAAATGGCATTTTAGTATTCTTAATTCTATAGGAGAAAATCAATGTAGATAACAAACACAAAGTAAAAACTTCTTTCACTTTCATTCAGAGGCCAGCTGGGGTACTGGGACCTTCTCCACCCTGCTGTTTGTTCTTACTTGCTGCTTTAGCCACAAGTGCCCTGGCACAGCAACTCTCTCTCCAAGGACTGGGCACCACTGCCTGTAGGAGAGCCTGTTAAGCTGCTTTGTACCTAGGCCAGAGGAGAAGTTATCAATGCAGAGTGATAGAAATGCTCTCGTCCAGAGGATAAGCAGGCTGTTCTCTCCACAAGGCTCTGAGCATAGCAACAATGGCCCAGCCAGAAATTCATCCTTCATCTCTACTGGAGCAGCAGGTATATATCCCCTGGAGTCAGCCCATAAGTGGTTTTAATATAAGGATGTTAGATTTAAAAAATATATGAATAGATGTACTTGTTAAAATGCCTTAGTGGGTCCCAGTGTGCTAAATTAATTTGCTGAAAGCAACAAGAACAATTATATTAATAACATACATAAGCGTGGGCAACTGGGACTAAGTAACCTGGTGCTTCAGATGCAAAAACACGGGGTTTTACCATTTGAGCTGACAGAACTCCCTTAGCTAATGCTGATAATAGGTCCCAGAACCTTGTTTTTTAAATTAATTTCCTAGCACAGCCTTGGCTGCAGAACATGTGGAAAATAGTAAATGTCAATAGAGAAACTACACGTGTAGAAAATTAAAGTACGGACAAGGCTGGAAGGTTTTTTTCTTGTCATTTTGTGGCTGCAGATTAGAGCACACTTGTTCTAATGCCATATAAAAACAGATCTATTAGAAAAGAGTTCCTTGTTTCACAGGTGAAGCTCAACAAGACTTATGAGCAGTAGGATAGAAGAGTATTTTTTTGCTTCATCTCTGCCTTGCAGGTAGAGTCAGCCCATACCACAAATAATGTACTGTACCTGTGACATCTGCAGTATTGCTAACCATAAATATTGAAAACAAATTGTAACTTCTTCAGAAATAATAAAACTTAGATGAAAAAAATCATGCAGAATTTTTAAATGAGTTTTCTATGCCTTTTGGGAACATCACTGTGATGGTTCTGGCTCACGTTTTATGAAAACTGGCCTATAAATATGCATAATTTGGAAATGCTTTGGACAGAATATCTAATGTAACCTATCAATTTTACAATCTGCTGGATCTGTATATCTTTTTTTGGTACATGTGTCACTCTTGTATATAAAGTTAGAAATATAGAGTATGGGATTATTTATAGTTCTAAAAGTGCTACTGAGAGCCAGCAATGGTGCTTAGAAGCTTTAAAAACTGGGTGATCAACTTAACGACTTGCAAACAGCCTTGTTTGTCCTGTAGGTCTGAAGGTATTGGTCTAGTAAGATATATGACATTCCCCCCCACTCCCACTGGAACTCAGTTTTTGAGGAAGGTACTTTTCCATGGAATGGAGAACAAAAGATTCTCACCCCAGGGGAAAGACTGTTTAAACAATGGGGCTGTGTCTACATTGGCAAGATTTTGCGCAAAAGCAATTGCTTTTGCGCAAAATCTTGCCAATGTAGACACAGCCCCATTGTTTAAACAGTCTTTCCCCTGGGGTGAGAATCTTTTGTTCTCCATTCCATGGAAAAGTACCTTCCTCAAAAACTGAGTTCCAGTGGGAGTGGGGGGGAATGTCATATATCTTACTAGACCAATACCTTCAGACCTACAGGACAAACAAGGCTGTTTGCAAGTCGTTAAGTTGATCACCCAGTTTTTAAAGCTTCTAAGCACCATTGCTGGCTCTCAGTAGCACTTTTAGAACTATAAATAATCCCATACTCTATATTTCTAACTTTATATACAAGAGTGACACATGTACCAAAAAAAGATATACAGATCCAGCAGATTGTAAAATTGATAGGTTCAGGCCTGGCACACTTCGATGGCCTGGGAAGGCCTGGCACATTAGAGCCATGTTTACACTGCAGGTTTCTTGTGCAAGAAGCTTTTTGCTCTCTCAAAAGGAAACTCTGATTGCTATTTACAGAATAGCCACCAGGGCATCTGTGCTTTTTTCAATTACCTCTTTTTGCACAAAAAACCCTTCTCCAGCTCCACACACACCTTTTTGTGCAAGAACCCTTGCACAAAAGGATGTTATTCCTTGCAGAAGGAGGAATACCTACACCGCAAAAACTCCTCTGTTCTTTCGTTTTACTTGAGCAAAAACATGCTTGAGGTGTGGCTCTCCAGGAAGTTTAGGCAGGCTAGTTTAGGGGTCTGTTCTTCCCTATTAACTATAAAGGGAGCCTAATCACCTAACTCATACTTTGTGCAGCACAGCATGTGCTGACATGTAGCCATCATGCTGCGCAATGTTGCGCCCAGTAACTCCCTTCATGGCTCCCACCCTCTTCCTTTGTGAAATGAAAGTTGAGCCTCCCCTCTGTACACAAGGGCAGGAGCTGAACATTCAGTAAAATCCAGGGCAGGCAAAAGATGGCTCAGAGACTGGAGCTGGCCCACTGCCCAACAGTAGCCTAATCCAGGCTCCCAGCCTGACCCACCCTTGCACACCACTGAAAGCAGCTCACTGTGGGGGCTAAGGATGTTAAGTGTAGCGCTCTCTCCACCCGATTACCTTCTTTAATGCCAATTTGCCCACAGGTTTCAGTGGACAGGTCTGGGTTCTTCTGGATCCTGCCACCCACTCAGCAGGGTGTATCTTCTTTATTTTTTCCTATGAATTTATTTGGCGGTGCCTCCATCTCTCTCACACCCTTTCCTGGCAGGGTCACCAGGGCAGTTTGGGAGGAAAATTCTAACCACAGGATAATCCCCACTTACTTGCCAGATAGTCGGTGACTTCAGAAAAATAACACAAACACATACAATATATTCAACACAATAATTATATTAAACAGGAAACAATTATTTATAACATAACAGGGTAAAACACTATTTTTAGGTTCACCGGTGCCCACGCTGCTAATACCTGTGACTTTCCCCAGTCACATGACTTGACATAGCAAATGTAAGATTAGTGCCCCGTTGGTACGCGTACTTTGTTGGGGCCCTTGATGACCTATGACCACAAAATTCTTCTCTGCAGTGGTTTAGCAGTGTGGCTGACTGGGTTCAGGACAGTCCAAAGGACTTACAAGCGGAAGAAAGTGGTAAATCGCTCCACAGG